GGGGAGCTTGCCGCTGGTTGAATAAAACAGCAAGTGAATACGAATACAACGTGCGGATCTTCCAGCCAACCAACACGTATGAATTAATCGGAGAAATAATATATATAATAACTCATCAGAATTTCAAGAAATATGTAAGGAAAGTGTAACGAAGATGGGATACTCAATGCTAGGTCCAGTAATACCAGGACTCACAATGGCACAACTGCAAGCCAGAGGCAAACGTTTTACATTAAGAAAAAATAATGAGATATTTCTATATCTGGAATATCTTACAGTACCCAAGGATAGTTTATTCAGGAGCCAAAATTTACCATTTCAAACCGTGAGTGAAAGTACTAATATCTTCATTCAGCATCTATTTAAGATAAATTATGGTAGTCTTAATACAGATATCCGCCTTACGTTTGGATATTGTGCAGTGTGTCAAGTACCATTATTAGCAGTACGTAATTGTCGTTACTGCACGGCGTTATATTTAAATAAACAGTGTGAGGACGTGTTGATGCAAATTTTGGAGTACCCCTTTGCCGAACATCGGAAGTCATTAGAAAATGATGACGAACGGTGCCGATTCCATCAAGGAGGTAGTGAATTAATTAGGGCGTGGAGTAGGCAAGTAGATCAGTTATTTTCAGAAAACAGTAACTATTGACTAAATTTTAGTGAATAAATTTTTTTTGGGGGCTATTTTTATATAAAAATAGAAATAAATAAATAAATTATTATTAGAGTGAATTTATACTGCAATTTCCTGGCAAGACTCCTCCAAATACAGTTGACATAGAATACACTAAATTCGACACCTGGTATTCGAATAAATTAAGTGGTATCTAGCAGTAGGAAAGAAACAAAATTAGAATTTTATAGCTAGATTAATGATTACATTCCCGGTCTGAAAGGTAGAGTAAAATAAAAGGGACTTAGTTGCCAGTAAGACAGCATAGTGTCAACTAGTATTGTGTCAACTAGTATATAGTGTCAACTAGTTTTGTGTCTGTGTCTCTATAAGTAATTGTATAACATGTTCGTGAGTAGGGTCTTGGAAAAGTTGGAAGAAGTTTATGGAGAAAACCACGGATTTGTGATCACAGAAGAAGGAGTGATAAGTGATCCCTTAAACTTGTTCAACAGTCTGGAACCATACGACAACGTGGTTTTACCGGAAATGTTACCGGAAATAATACGAGGAATCATCTTGTGGTTAAACGGCGAAGCAATGAAAATGGGACGACCATCCAGAATGGGTCCCAAGTCTTAGGGCAGATTTGCTATGACAGCTGCGAAGACTACCGAAAGGCATCGGAGGATTGCGCTCGTATGATAGGATACGACCTAAGCCTACCGCTAGTACCCGGACCGGATATCATGAATAAGCAACTTCAAATCATCATGAAAAGGTGGGAGTTAAGATACGAAAACGACCAGTTGCAGTATGTAGAGTATGTTCCTCAACCACCGGATGAGTGTACGAGAGAAGATATGCAGGTATGGATAGATTATCTTGTAGCATATTTTCATGGAGAAAGGATCGAACGCGGAAGAACATACGCCGAGTTTGTACATCTGCCTTATGGAAGTGTGGGTTTTGCGGACTTATTAACTTTTGAGAACTGTGTACAGTTCTCTCGACCTCTACCTGTGTGGCGTTTTTGTAAACTGTGTATTTTAAAATATTTAACCCATGGACCGAAGAATATCTTCTCATCTATTAGGAGTGCTGGTCAACCGCGCATCAGAATGCCCTTCAACCCGGAGAAAAATGCCGTATATGTAAACCTGGCACCATAGGAGAAGAAATATTTCTAAGAAGATTAAATGTAGTATGGAGTGGTGATTTCTTGCCTTTTAAAAATTAGAGACTTTATAGTGCTTCGAAGTTTTTCTCATTCAAACATATATATGTGTAAAATTACTGTGTGTTTATTACGTAATGCTTATTGTAACTCATTATGTGCAAAGTATAAGTATATTATCTTGATGTACGCAATTTCAAATAGGCAGGTGCAACTTGCGAGCGCCCTGCATCGCTAATTTTCAGGGGTGGGCGTGTTACATCGAGGACAAGTCAGACTATTTTATGGCGGTAAAATTTAATTTTTTTATGGAAGGGGAGTTCCCGTAATTACAAGCAATAGTCATTTAATAGCTGACTTCAATCTCAGTGACGCACTTACCCCTTCTGGGATTAACACTTTATCGATTAGTTTTTATGTATTTTGTGCTATAAAAGAGAACGCAAAACAATTGTAACGGAGACTCTGTATTCTACTCTGTGACACTACGCACCTTCTGTAATTCGATCAATAAATATTATAAATCTATTTCTATAATAACTTATTTCAGAGTTATACCTAATTCACGTTCATCTCTGAGTTCTGAGGTACGAGTTTATGGACCAGTTAAACTGCAGGTAAATTATTTAATTATTACTTAATCACTCGGTACTTTAGATACGTTACCGCCCTGCTTTCGTTTGAGTCTCGCACCCGTGGTAAAGCGATTACGCGTTGACCGAAAAGCGACAGTCGCGTTTGAGTAATTCTTGTCAATTCGAGGCCGTTACGTGAGACATAACAATCACTAGTTTATCAATTAAAAAAGAGTTTAATTTAAGTTTATCGATTTTGCCGTCTATGGCGTTTTACTCTTTTTATGGTCATCTATATAAATAGTAATTATATCACAAAGAGGCAGTTTGAGGAATTACTATTGTCTAAGTAAATTTAAGGTCTTATTAGTTAGCGTTCAAAAATATTAGTGAAAAGTAATAATGACAAAGATATTATGCACACTGTTTGTGCATCACTAGTTTATCACTTAAAAAAGAATTTAACGATATTATTGAAACTTAGAATTCAAATTGGTACCGTTAATTGATCTGTAATAGGATCATGGTTATGATCATACATGAAATATTAGTTGTATCAGAATTAGGCAATTTGAGAAATTAGTATTCTCTAATAAATTGCAGGTCTTATTAGTGATCACCCAAAAATCAATACTTTTAAATAATAATAAAGGATGTGCGTAATCTGTTTGTATGTCATAATTTTATTATTTTATAAAAATGTAATCACAATATGAAGACTCAGGGTTCAAACTGATTCCATTAACATGATCTGTTATAATTTATCAAAATTATTTTTGAAATACTTTAAATCGTTTCGATCAGAATATTGCGCCTTCGTCTATGCAGTTCTCCGGCATGTAAGGTGCAGTGATAACAAGTTTTTTTGCCAGGCGTTTAAATTAAATTTTTGTTCATTAATCAGTAAAATGATATCGCACAAACAAATTGCATGAAATTTTTCCATTATTTATAAAATTGCTAATTTAATAAAAATATTTCTTTCACGATTATGTAAAATGTTTTATTTTTGACAACTGACTTATCAAACTTTAAAATACGAGGTGTGTTCAAAAAGTAACGAGAATTTTTAAATTTCGCGGGTTTGGAGAGTCCGCTTGTATAAAATTTTTTTTTATTATGTTGGTACACATGCTCCTGAAGTACGATAAAATTTTCAGCAATATTCATTGCTTACTTTTTAAGTGGCAGCCGCTAACGTTAGACGTGTTTTTCGAGCTCGGCGATTTTCGTTTGTGAAAAAAAATGGATCAAAGAATTTGTATTAAATTTTGCGTAAAAAATGAAATAAAGTGTAGTAAAGTTTGTCAAATGTTAACAAAGGCATATAGTGAGTCTGCTATGAGTAAAGCAAGAATTTATGAGTGGTATAAGCGTTTCCAAGATGGCCACGAAAACGTTGAAGATGACGAACGACCCGGACGCCCAAGCACATCAACAACCGATGAAAACGTGAAAAAAGTGAAAGAAATGGTTATGAACGATCGCCGAATCACAATCAGAGAAGTCGCTGATGATGTTGGCATATCAGTTGGCTCATGCCATCAAATTTTTTCGAATGTTTTGGGTATGAAACGCGTGGCAGCAAAATTCGTTCCAAAATTGTTGAATTTCGAACAAAAACAGCGGCGAATGGAAGTTGCTCAGGAGTCGCTAAATGAAGTCAATAACGATGCAGAACTACTAAAACGTGTTATAACAGGTGACGAAACATGGGTTTACGGATATGATGTCGAAACTAAGGCTCAATCGTCCCAGTGGAGGCATTCTGGATCGCCAAGACCGAAAAAGGCTCGACAAGTGCGGTCGAATGTGAAGGTTACGCTCACTGTGTTCTTCGATTTTAATGGCATAGTGCATTATGAATTCTTGCCACAAGGTCAAACAATCAATAAGCAGTACTACCTACAAGTTCAACGTCGTTTGCGTGAAGCAATCCGAAAAAAACGCCCGGATTTGTGGCAAAACAATTCATGGCTTTTGCACCACGATAATGCGTCTGCTCACACTTCATTGCTTGTTCGTGAATTTTTGGCCAAAAACGAAACTGTAACGATGCCTCAGCCTCCATATTCGCCAGATATGGCTCCATGTGACTTTTTTCTATTTCCAAAAATAAAGAGAACATTAAAAGGCCGTCGTTTTACAAGCATAGATGACATTAAAAGCGAATCGCTGAAAGAGCTAAAAGCTATTACAAAGATCGAGTTTCGAAAGTGTTTCGAGGATTGGAAAAAGCGTTGGCATAAGTGTATTGTATCCGAAGGGGATTATTTTGAAGGCGACAACATTAATGTAGATGAATAAATAAATATTTTTTTCATAAAACGAAAATTCTCGTTATTTTTTGAACACACCTCGTATATGACTGATACTGTATAGTATACGACATCAAAAATAGTAATTATCTATTAATAATATGTTAAATAAGTCGATCGTTTCTGGTTGTCAAGTATAAATAGATAAATAATAATTTTGAATTCCTAGGAACATTCCATTCCAACATTTATTTTATGAAACTGAAAAGCATTCAAGTTCATGCTCTACCAAGTTATCCTTAATAATCCACAACACGAGTTACATTTTTTTATTGTGACTTATTAATCGTTTAGAAAATATTTTTCTCTAGTCAATCAATCTTTAATTCAATTTTAATTTAATAATATAAATTAGTTTTTGGTATAAATAATGATACGTACATTTCATTAGAATCTCTTATTCGCAATGTCAGTTATTCAGTTAGAAAGTGAAAAACATAAACAATTTGGCATGAACAGTTGGGCATTGATGCAAATCGATGACCTAATGAAATTAACTATTGTTGATCCGCACATAGGTTTTCCAACTAGAAAAGTAAATCCATACAATAATTTCACTTCTGAAAATAAAACAGCAGTAGAAAAAATTATTTCAACAAAAAAACCTTTAGATAAAACAAGATTGAAAGATGTCGAGAAAGAACTAAACATACTTTTGAAACCGCAGAATCTCTACTATAATCTTAATATAAAAATAACAAATTAGGTTAATGAACCAATGAAATTTTATATTGAAACCATATCTTCTGAATCACCAGTGACTATCAATACATGTAGTAGATATAAGACTGAAAATAATGGTGTTAGAATTATTGCTAGAACTAATATTAAAAAATATACAAAACTAAGCTATCTGAAAGGTATATACAAACCTATGGATCCTGAACGAGAACAGTTACTAAAAGAGAGGAATTTAAATTTTTCTATTATTGAAAGTACAAGAATGAAATATCCTGCTTTGATCTTAGGAACTGTAGCTTTATTAAACCATGACTGCAATCCTAACTGCATGTACTCAATAGTAACAAAATATTCAGTTATAATCGTTACAATAAAAGATATAAAAAAAGGAGAAGAACTTTTCTGATTTTATGGTAATAACTACTTTGGATTTAATAATGAAGACTGAATGCTTGACTTGCGAAAGAAAAGGACTTAGTTTCTTTTCAAAATGTAAGTACTGTATAATTGTATTTATTTATAATAACAAATAAACATGTATACATCTTTTTTTTAACGAGTATACGATATACTTTGAAATATTATTGTATATTTTTTTCAGGTAAGGCAAAGTTTGAAGGCACCAATCATAATGATTACAATTGGAATATTAATTCTTCAAATGGATCTTTATCTACCCAAATTATATCTAATTTCAACAATAACAAAATTGCTGTTCAAGAATCCGCAACTAAAATAACATTATTAAACGATTGTAAATATATTTTTTGTTTGTTACTTTTTTGACTTAAACGAGAAATGTGTTTTTCAATATTACAGCTGATAGTAGTTTGAATGGTAGCAATAATGTGTTTAGCGACTGTACCATGATTGATAACAGCAACTTATCTACTGAAAGACCATGTATGAGTTTCTCTTTACTCGAAGTTTCTGCAGAACAGAAGAATTTTGGAAAAATAAAAGTCTCATGTGCAGTAGATGAATTCTCTGGTATATTTTAGATAAAAACATTTTTCATGTTTTTCAATCCTTTTTAAATTGCTGAAAATTATTCTATAACAATACCAATAAATGGCTACCTTCATGAAATATTATTTTAGTATCTGTGATATATTTGTTTTTTATTTCAAAACTGCTATATGAATTATACAATAATTCAATGTTTTAGATCTCTTTGAAGACTTTCATGGCTTCTCTAATTATTTCAAACTTGATTAAAAAATGGACAAAGCATATGTTAAAATTGAAAAAATTAATCCAATGATTGTTCAATGGCATACAGCAAAGAAAAAAGAAGGATATGCATTTTGTATATATTGTGAAACATTCAAAACAAAATTATCTAGACATTTGAGACTCGTTCATAATGATAAAATTATTGTAGAAAAATTTGTAAATAACAAAACCAGCAATCTCAGAAATGTTGCGATAGATTTCATACGCAACCAGGGTTATGCACGGTATAATCACTTAACAGGAACATTAATTCCAAGAATGAAAGTGAGGAAAGATGCTATACATAAAGTTAAAAAAATTCAGTGTGTGAATTGCTACGCTTACGTTTCAAAAAAAACATTGTGGAGTCACCGAAAGTACTGTCAAAAATTTACGATTTCTAAAGTACAACTGATTTAAAAAAAAATTTCAACTAATATTATTATTAAAAACTATTATTATTATTGGATGATAAATTAAGCTATTGATATAATCATAATTTTGAAGAAATTGATTAAAATTTTGTATATCAAGTTTTATTAAAATAATTATTTACAAGCGGAATATTAAGGAAAAAAAAATTTTTTAACAATTTAACATTTTGAAAGAAAAAAAACATTTAATATTGATTATCTGATTTCATTTTAAAAAGGTGAAGTAGTGCGCAATTAACGAAATGTGTCAAGAGAAAATATACATAGTATTTTCAGAGGATATTAGTCATCAATGCTCAGCTGGTAAGTAAAAATATTAGCTGACCAAGATCTCACACTTTCATTACTTGATTTTACGCAACTTAAGAATTTCACCACAGGATCTCTCATAGTCATGAAAATGGCGTTGCTGTTAAATTTACAATAGCCAAATTGACAGCACGTGTATAGTGAAGCTATAGTTAATGTCTTTAATTCGCACTCTGAGAGTTGTCATTTTGCAGTATAGTTTCCATCAATATCAACTTGACTCATACTTGAAGCGCAATTTCAAAAATATTCTAAATTATCATTCTAATCTGAAAAATATTGTCTACATTTAGTTAATACAACAATCTCTCTGACATTTTCTAAAGAATTGCCGACATACCTGATTTATTAATTGTGATATATTACTTGAGTTATAATTACCTGAGATTATGGAGTTAAACTCTAACATCGTGATGGATGGTAAATTTATCGTATTGTCCATGTCGATTCTTGTATTTTAGTATTTTGAAATTTTGATCTTTACATTTTAGGTGAAATAACTGACAATGACGATAACTCACTACTTAAAGGGTTAGAACCTTTAACTGATGAAGAAGTTAATAAAATTGATACAGAAATTATTTTAAATGAATCATACAAGAATAATGAAATTGCCAAATTAGTAAACGTGAAAAACCGGATCATTCTAGTTTAGATAATCACTCTTGCCATGATAATTTGAAATTAAATGATTTAAAATATCAATCACAGTTTAATAAGATTAGTGAAAAAAATGTTCTATAGAACATTGTGAAAAAAATTAATTTTACAAAACGTGATTCTGAAAGCGATTCTGAGTCTGTGACATCTGGTTCAGAGTATTTACCATCTGAATCTGTAGAATTAACAGATGAAAGTTTGAAGGATAGTATTTCTTCAGAAAAAAATTCTAAAAAAAATACTCATGGAAGTTACGAAAATTCGTACGAATCAGATGTAAATGAAGTGCTTGATATCTCATTTGATGATGATGGTCGTTCAAATAAATTAGATAATAAAATAGAAAGAATTATATTTTTTATTGAAGAAAGCTCATGCGATAAAGAAGATGAAATTAGTGGATTCAGTGTTGTATCCAATGAAGATTTGTTAGATAACGATGAAATTCTAAATACTATAAATAATAATTCAAATAAGTCTGTTAGAATTTATAAAGTAAATAGACTTGATACTTTAGTGGAAAAACAAATTTCTAATAATAAATCAAATTTATGTTCTAATAAAAAAACATCAAAACAGGATAAACAAAATAAAAATATTAATGATATAAATAATGCTACTCTCAATAATTCTTCAGATGTAAGTGGACTTGTAAGTTTATATAATTCTTTATTAAATGTGAATTTGAATTCAGTTGGACCTGCATTACGCAATAAAACTGAAACTTTTTTCTGAAGTACTCATGGTTGTAAAAAAAATAGTTGCTATTGGTGTATAAAAAAGAAAATTAAAAACAAAGATCCTAAGATAAAAGTTCTTTATACAAAACTGCCTATTCATTATGAAAAAGTTCATGCAAATGAAAGATTGGTAAAAAAACTCAGAGATTTAAAAAAAAAGATTATACCGAATAAAAAAAACTGTGATAATGCATTAAAAAGAAAACATATTCTTGACCAGTTAAGAATCAAAGCTAACCATATAAACAATTTAACTGTCATCCATGGAAATCAATATGTCTTGAGACAAAGACCTACAAAGTCAGGCAAAACAATTTCATCATATTTGCCTTGCTATAACTGTTCTCAGTCATTTTCAATTTCATCTCTACGTAAGCATGTGGCAAAGTGCACTAAATTATCATTTAAGAAAAAACATGTAGTTCAAGCAAGAGGCAGAGTAACTAATGGCGAATACCACTCAATAGCCAGTGAAGTAGCTATAAGTATAATTTCAAAAATGCGCGAATCTGATGCAGTCCAGTAGATAAAGTATGATGAAGCTGTTTTCATCTGGTTAAACGGAGAAGCTTCAAAATACGAAACAACCCCACATAATCATAAGGGAGTCAGAGCAGATCTAAGTAGATTAGGAACATTGTTGAACGAGATGAAGAAACTTAATAGAAACATAAATGAAGTAAAAGATATATTGCACGAAGATTATTATGAAGATTTCATAAAATCTGTTAAGATTATGGGAAAACCGAATCCAGACACAAAGTTTATGGAATCTCGGCTACAGCTAAGGCAATGTTCAATTGAATAAAACAAGTATCCAGTATTTATAATTTTACAAAATGTTCTAATGATAAGCAAAAGAGATCTGAAATAAAAAATGTTGAAAAAAAATTATGCAGATTATGGCATATTATTATAGGTAATACAATTGCAGAAACGCAAGCACGAACAAAAAGGCAGAAAATCATTGAATTACCAAAAAATGAAGACAATGTTAAACTTAATGTCTATCTGGAACAAGACAACTTAATGTCTAGCTGCTTTGCGAGCCATTGTTTCGCATCTTGTAATTACGAGTGGTCGCATCCTGGATCGCCTGCCATTTGTCAGTGGCCGAGCAAGATCCCGCACACGTGCCCGCTCAACAGGCTCGAGAGCTTCTAGAGCAGCTGCAGCTTCGTCGGCAAATCCGTCTTGGTGCTACTACCACTAGCGGTTCCAGGCGAACGCGGAGCGTTGCCGACCGCCATGCGGCTATCCAGCCAACAAGTCGACAAACTAGAGGCGCTGACGCACGTTTTGGCGGTACACGGTAGCGCTTCTCTACCGCCTTCCGACGTCCGTCTGCACATCTATGAAAGCTCGCTCGGCTGTGCCATGCTCGTCGACTCCGGATCAGTAATGACCTTGCTGCCACGACGTCTCGCTGCTGGTCCGTTGACACGCAGCGGTTTGCAGCTGATCTCGGCGAATGGGACCCCTATCGCCACCTACGGTAGGCAATTACTTACCATCACGCTGGGCTTTCAGCGTGACTTTCAGTGGCCGTTTACCGTCGCCGACGTACCGGTACCTATCCTGGGAGCGGATTTCCTAAACCACTCTGGACTGTTGGTGGATGTGCGCCGGCGTCGCATGTTCGACCCGAGCACCGCCCAGGAGTTCACTGCACAGTTGCGGAAGGCCATAATCCACGGCCATAATCCCGGACATTGAGGACCTCCTGGAGGAATGCGACGGATGCTCCGTGTTCTCCGTTATCGACCTGCAGGAGGCTTATTTTCAGGTACCGATGGCTGCCGAGGATATTGCAAAGACTACAATCACGACTCCTTTCGGCCCGTACGAATTCCTGCGCATGCCTCCCGGCCTAAGGAATGCATCATAAACCTTCCAGCGGTTCATGGACTCGCTACTGAGGGACATGTCGTTCGTGCGGAGCTACCTCGATGACTTGTTCGTGCGATCCTCGTCCCACAAGGAGCACCAGCGGCACTTACGCCTTCTATTCGACCGATTAAGGGAAGCCGGCCTGTCCTTCAAACTGGAAAAATACCAGCTGGAACTTCCACGTGTTAATGTCCTCGGATATGAGGTCTCTGCTGGCGGTATCAAGCCACCAAAGAGGAAAGTCGCGGCCATCCACGACTAAGCCAAGCCCAGGTCGCCCAGAGCCTTGCGACGGTTCCTGGGCATCATCAATTTCTACCACAAAAGTCTACCGCATGCTGCTCATATCCAGGCTCCACTGAACGAGCTCCTTCGAGGTTTACCCAAGGGAAGCCGACGATCCTTGGCCTGGAATCCAGGAACGGAGCAAGCCTTCCAAGACGCCCGACGCAGTCTAACCAAGGCTGTCGAAACCACCTTCCTTTCGCCGACTGCGCCTCTCCGTCTCGCCACGGATGCATCAAACTCTGACATCGGTGCCGTACTTGAACAATGCCCCCATGGGCGCGGGGAGTGGCAGCCGATTGGCTTCTTTTCCCAGAAGCTCACGCCTGCCGAGACCCGGTATAGTACCTATAACCGGGAACTACTCGCCGTCTTCCGTACGGTACAGCATTTTCGACGCATCCTGGAAGGTCGTCCCTTCACGGTACTCACGGACCATCGTCCGCTGACCTTCGCCGCCCGTCAACCGTCTGCAAAGGTGTCTCCGCGCCAGCAACGACAACTAGACTTCCTGCTGCAATTTGACGTCCTCAAAACGGCTTGGACAATGTCGTAGCAGATGCACTTTCCAGGACGCTCGAAAACACCACGCCGTTCGACGCTCCTGTCGAACCTTGCCTCTCTCTATCGCCCTCAGCGCAAGACGCCGTATGTGCCACGGTCGACATGCCGACCACTCTCAGCCCAGAGGCTATAGCCAAGGCACAAGCTTGCGACGACGAGCTGCCGGGCATTGCCGAGAACAGCTCTCTGATTCTCCAACGCCTGCACATCAATGACGTGGAGCTGCTGTGCAACGGGTCCGACCGTTTCTGCCACGCTCGCTTCGCACCGTTGCCTTCAACGCGGTGCATGGTCTGAGCCACCCGGGAGTTCGCGCAACAGTCCGCTCCGCAGCGGAACGCTTCTTGTGGCCTGGCATACGACGCGAAGTCACTCATTGGGCGCGCAGCTGCCTGCAATGCC